AAAACCACCAGACCATTATTCAGCGTCATCCTGTACAAGTAGACTTAATGCGAAGATCGTTTACCACCTGTGAAGGGTGTGTGTGTTTAAAGGGTATTTTCAACCACATTTCCTAGAATGTGAATTCATGATCCGTATCAGTATACATACACATCCACTTATTCATCACATCAGCATCCATCAATACCTTTGTGACTGTGTACGTGCAGAAGACTGTGTGGACTACAATAAATGCACGCTTGTAGATTTGTCCCACTGCACGTATGCCTGCCAAGTCACATTAAAGTGTTTATGTGGGAGTTCAGGACAGGAAAGTTAAAGGTTGAGGGGCTTCCTTGAAACAAAGGCTCCTCCACATCTCCGCGTCTCCACATGAGTCCTTTCCTTTCATGCTGTAGGCGTGCAGGGCTTCTGTACCCTTGCTATAATGCTGAGAGGGAACATCCTGGAGCTGCCGGCCCCATTCCATTCACCTTGACGGCTTGACCTATAGTACTTCCCATTGGCCAAGAATGTTTGTCTCACACAATCAGATTTTAGAGTCAATAGCTGTTCGCTTTTGTACTTTATCCTCTGCAAGACACTGATTTCAAAGAATTCTGTTCATGATCTGGTTTTCCTCAACTACGACTGCAAAGCAACCTACCAACCTCAACAACTTCCCGAACCCCTCACTGCTGTTTTACAATCTTATCTCTCCGGGCCTCATTTTACAATCTCCATCAGAATCTCCCCTCCTCTCTGTCGGCCACCATCTTTCATCCATCCTCTGTTTCCACGCTCTTACTCTGTTTTACAGCCATGACTGAAAATTGAGTCATAACTTCCCGACGGCACTGTTCAAAGGTCAACCCCCCTTCTCTCCCTCTTTTTCTCTGTGTTTCCCACCCCCTTTCCTCCTCTCCCTTTTGGGAGGCCCCTCATCCAACACGCCCAGCGCTGCATTCCACAGTCGCTGGGAGCACCTCCAAATGCTGCAAAAGCGTAGCAGACCACCACTCACAGCGGCACGCAGGGCAACTGAGCCCCTAGCCTCAGCTGCCACCAGACCTCAGCACCAGGCTCACGCGCTGCCAAGGAGGGCTTTGATTGGGGAGAAATTGCAATGTAGCAGCAACAGAGTCTGTGTGATGACAAGGAAAAGGCAACTGTGGCTCTCAAGGAGCAGAGTGATAACTGTACAGCATTAGCCACCTTCGAGCTGCTGAAACCAGCTCCAAGTAAAACCCTCATGCCACAGCGAGGCCTCTCATGTCTGTGCTGGGGGGCTGGCAGCTGCAACAGTGGGGCACAAGTCACAAAGCACCTTTTCGTCTGACCCGCAAATCCTTCAGGTCTCAAGTACACTGACACGCAGCTCCAGTTTCACCTCCCAAGTCTATCTATGTGGCTGGCTCTTACTACAGTAATGTTCTTGTACACAGTCAAATACCACAACACAGCAAATGTACAGTGATGTAATGAACAGCCCATTAATCCAGCTGTTGGCCAACACAAATTTAAAATCAATCCAATCTTGACTCATATCTCTTAAGTTGGGCAACTCCGCTGCTCGTCTCCACACACACTCCCGCACCCGAGATCGCATCACCCCCGTCCTTCATGACCTCCACTGGCTCCCCATCCCCCAGCGTATCCACTTCAAACTCCTCATCATCACCTACAAAGCCCTCCACAACCTGGCTCCCCCCCTACCTGTCTCACCTCCTCCACCGACACACTCCCACTTCGGTCCTGGGGGGACAGGGCCTTCTCCATTGCAGCTCCCACCCTCTGGAACTCTCTCCCTAAAAACATCAGAGACTCCCCCACACTCACTTCCTACAAGAAATCCCTAAAAACTCATCTTTTCATCACCGCCTACAACCACTGACTCTCATCCTCTTCCCCTGACACTATTTCTATTTTGTATTGTTCTCTTAGTTTTTGCTTTGTCTTTTTTTGTTGTTTCCTGTCAAAGTATCTTTAAGTATTTAGAAAAGCGCTATATAAATCTAATTTATTATTATTAGTAGTAGTATTTAAGTTTCCCTAATCTGCAGTGAAACAGTAAAAGACATCTGATGCATCACTGCTTGACTTAGTTCAATGTAAATAACACGACTTCCTGAAATAGGATTGAAATAATACATTATTCATTTTAAAGAAAGCTAAAATGTATCAGTTCACTTTAGAAAATGATGTATAATATGATGAAAAGTTATCAAAAATAAAAGCTTATTGGAATTTTTCTTTTACATTCCTGTTGCACTGAATTTCAAAAGACTGTTCGTTTTAAATAATGCAGACACAGTATGACATGGGTAGCACATATACGTTTGGCAAAAGTAATTGTACTGGAAGGTTTAATGCATAGTCATATGCTTTCTTGCAGCCTAGCTCAGAAAAGCACAGCTAAAAACAGTATTTAGGGGAATATTTGTTATCAAACCTGTGACAGAGACACATGGCTACTTGCCTGTCGGCAGCCATGACCCGCCCTCATGTCCTTAGGGGGAGTACTTTCCATAGTGGGGGCTACTGCCTTCACATTGGACAGGTGCTGCTCCTTACCTGGAGCAAAGGAGGAAAACAAAAAAATATCCACCCAAGTATTGTGTCATGATAAAAAAAAATCTTTAAATAACAGTAAAAAAAAAGATGCATTGGCAAATTTTCAAGTGTTACTTTCCACCTTTTTTATGAGCTGTGCTGTTTAAAGTATTTTCTAGCACACCATTAGAATGCATCTGGTTCAGGAAACCTATAGTGGTTAAGATTTCTTGTGTGTGAACAGAGAGAGGTATTTCTCTTCTTTTGGCTGACCTCCATTGTTAGACTCCAGGCATGCATGTGTGTTGTGATTATCAATGCACACATCTGGATAGACTTAGTCAAGAAATCCTATAAAGAACCTAATGGGCTCTTCTAACATTTTTTTGAAGCCTGATTAGGAGCTGTTTCAGATCTAGTTCACATCAATGAGTTCCATCTGTGATCTATTTAAGTTTTCACTGAATTCGTTATCTACTTTACCTGCTCCCTTTTTAGTGTAGTAGGGCCTGGGGGCATGCCTTATGGGGAAGTCTGCAGAATACGTTTTAACGGGGGAGGTCAGGAACTTAAAAATGGGGGGCTGCTACATCACTCTGACAAACTAACCATAAATAGAAATTGTGTTTATGAACCATAGGCACCAGTTTCATTTCCACCCTTTCCAAATTCTGTCATTAATCTGTTCTTCCAACGAATGTATTCATCTGTGTTTTATAAGTGTATCACACGTTTAGTCCTGCTAGTCATCATACAAGTAGAGTCAGTAATGGGAGTAATGCCAGCATGAGAGTCAAATTTACACCTTGCATATTAGCTCTTTAAGCTTATGGTAGGCCTACGATAGGTAGCAAGCAGTCCTAACTTTAAGGGCCTGTTTGCCTTCCAATAGAGTGACCCTTATGTTTTATGAGGAAGACTAACACCATGAACTAGGCTACATTTGTTACAAATTAGGCTTCCAAGAGCCGTTAAGTTGACACCTGCCACATCAAACACTTTTAAGAAAGCAGGAAGAACAGTGAAAACTAGAAAAGAAATGGGACTGCCCTTTGCTCAACTGCATTAATTAGCGTTAATAAGTTAACGTTAGGCTAACACTAGCTCAGGGATGGGCAACTTTGGTCACAGCAAGGGCCACATTCATTTAATTCTCACTGCCAGAGGGGCCAAATTAAACGATTACAGTCGATTATGTCTCAAATTAATTCAACATATACCAGTGATCAGATATTATTATGGACATATCTCTGGTTTTCATGATTTCATGGCAGATTTCATCATGTTCTCTTCATGTTTCCAATTAATTGATGAGTAAAAAATTAACCTGAGGGCCACATTTAAGGTTAAGGATGGGGGCCGCATGTGGCCCCCGGGCCGCCAGTTGCCCACCCCTGCACTAGCTCATGTCAAATTGTTCCATTATTCACCATGCACCTTAATAACTTATCATTTAGTATTTGCCTACTTGCACACAGCTCTGTATATATATATTTATTTCTCGTTTACTGCACATAGTTCTCTTTACAGCTGTTTACATCTGGTCACTACTGCACATAGTTATGGTTACATCTGTTTACATCTGTTAGTCCGGTCACTGTCCACTTATATCTACTCTTTTATATTTTATATTTGTATTTTTAAGTTAAGTTTAAGCTTTAAGTTGTATTTAAATTGACACTTTAAATTGTTTCTGTTTTGTTTACTTGCACTGTTGTTAATTTACTGCTCTGTGTGCCTTTGAATTGCCCCCGGGGACAAATTAAGTTTTTTAATTGAATTGAATTGAATTGTCATGTCCACCGTCTCAAACTAACGGTGATGTGACAAGTAGCCTAAGTGAGTAGCCTAATAAGTACAAAGTTGCTCAATTTAAATGACTCATGACGCCAATTTATCTTCTTATTTAACTTACTTACTTTTGGTAAGCCAAATCAAAAGAGCTTGGTTTTCGTTCAGTCGAACCGAACACATGTTCAAATAATCAATTATTGGTCTCACCTGTGAAGCACCTAGATGCCTCTAAAAGGGTCATTGTCATGATTGGCCACAAGATGTCGCCAAACTCAACATCCCCTTCTATCAAGTGCTGCATTCAAGTGCTCACGGTAGGGTCGTGTTTCTGAAAATCAGTTTGGATAAGTATGGGATTTTTTTTTTATTATTATTATTTTTTACAATAAATCAAATGAGAGTAAATTAAAATTAAAATGCTTTGGTATTATATTCCATTTAACTCATAGAACAAATGTATGCAACCAAATTATCTTTAAATTATTATAATGTTTTTCGAATTTACTGGGAAGAAATTAAAAAAAAAAAAGCTGAACCATTGCTTTCAAGTTAGAGATTAAAACGTGTATACCTCCGCTCTTTTTATTTATTTATTTTTACACATCGTTGCTTCTCGAGACTAAAATGGTAAATTCCTACAGTCGTCGGCTTCCACTATTCCCGGAAATGACCGCATAACCACAGGACACAAACTTTAGCTATTAGCGGTAGCATGAGCTTTTAGCACAACAGATAACACAAGTCTATCGAAAAAATTAACGCTGTCAGGAGTACTTTCTCTTCTGTGTCTCTAATTTATACGCTGATATGGAGCTCTAGCCTAAATTGAACACAAAGGTAATAGCCTCAAACTGGGCTTTACGTTGCAGGTTCGGGTCATTTTGGGGGTAACATTGTCGCTATTTAGCCAAATTGTTTTGTTTGTATGCTGCACTAACAATTCAATCTCGCTCTTACCTGTGTAGTTTGGCATGCTCGTTTTGCTCTTAAGCGTAAACACACCTGCTCATTACTGAATGTGATCAATGCAAAATATAATAGTGTTTTAATATATATTGTTTATGTATTGTTTTAATTCATACTTTATTCTAATCTTATGGACAGATGTTGGATGAAAAAAAAAAAAGCCCCAGCACAATTCCTTCTTGTTGACAGTATTATATAAGAAAGGCTGTCCAACATAAGTTTTGACCAGGAACATTTTTGACAGGTTGTAAACGTAGCCACCCATGTTACCTGTTATTAACAACCTATTTGATTACACATGCATCTTCTCCATCAGTATTTAGGAAATGGTCCGACTGCAGCAGCGCCAGTAAAGATGCACAGCCGTCTGCAGGAGTTGAAGAAGGAAGAGGAGACTCTCCTTAAAATCAAAGTCATGCTACAAGAACAGCTTAACAGGTTGAAGGTAAGGACTTTAGGGAGATTACAGTCTGTGTTTGGATTTGTGTCTCTTTTTTTTTTTTTTTAGTGGTGCGTGTGATTTTTATATTGTGTTTGTGCTCACTCTGTTTCAGTTTGAAGAAGGGGCCTTGAAATCCATCATTAATGCTCAAACAGAAGAAGGAGCCTCTCCACAATTGTCCCCAGAAATAGAGGTAATGTGTTGTTGCTGAGAGGACAGCAGGGAACTACGCTGCCCTACAAAGACAAAAGAGTTGTAGAACTAAGACAAATGACTTTAAAGTCTTTTTGTTGTGCAGCCAAATGAGTTGCAGGCAGAATATTGGAAATGTGGCAATTCTTTGTCTTTTTAATGAGGTTATTAATGTTCATATAAATCTTTAGCTCAAACATGACCCTTGACCCTTATTTGGAGTTAAGGTACTCTGCCTTTTGCATTGCCTGTACAATAATAACGGGGTCATGCAAGGCAAAAGGCATTAACTTCCATTTGATACTGTATTTCACTTTGTTGCATTGTTAAAATAACACAACCAAACACTATTTCTTTGCTACACTTTAGTCAAGCTACTGTGTGTGTCAAAGAGTGCTTGATGACAGATATTAAAACAAAGACATAACACCTTAACTCCACTGCAGTGAAACAGTAACTTCACTTTGATCTGCACGTAAAACAAAGGCAGAAGACCTTAACTCAGTTTGAGCGTTCCTGAATGCTGCAGTACAAAGACAAAGACCCTGATGAGTGAAGTTACTGCACTCTGCCTTGGTTTCTCCAGGGCTTTTGGAAGTTAAGGCAAATACAACCTACTATTTTCTCAAAAAAAAACAACACAATTGACTCAAGATATCTGTCCACATAATAAAACACATCTGTAATGTTCCAAAAATGACAAAAACTAATTTTTGAAAAAATTGAAGTTACTGCCTTTTGCCTTTGTAGGGCAGTATGGTGAACTATGGTAGATGCTTACAGATGTCACAGCATGTTATGTTAATATATTCCCTCTTATTGAAAAATTCACATATAAGTTGGTTTGGTTGAATTGAGCACTTTTTCAGTATTCAGCATTTTTTCCGTCGAACAGTTTAAAATTGACGGAAGAGAGTGAGTGAGATGAGGAAGTGAATGTTTGGTTTAGATGGGAAAGCTGCGTAGTTTAACCACAGAGGGTAAGAAGGACATTTAAAGCGAGCCCAGCCTGGAATTGCACACCGTGGATGAAACAGCTGAGCAGGGGTTCTGTCAGGGAAACCCGCCTCCACTTCACTGGACTCCCCTTGTCGGCCATCGTACAAAACATATTATCACATTGTTACAACGCAGTAGCTTACACATTTGAGTTTTTTTTTAATTATATGACTTCCTGTAAGTCACAAACATAATAGCTTTGTGAGGAAGCTTGTGTGATTCATCTTTAAATATTTATGTAAGGTAATGCTTGATGAAAAAACTCTCTTTAACTTAACGCTAACTTCATAGCACTGAAAATCTTTTGCTCTCTTTTTAGAAATGGTTTGTCTTGTACAGGATCTGTTGTATTTTTTTTTCCTAACTCTTAATCGAAAACTCTCCTTTCTGTAGCTAGTGCACTGAACACTAGCATGTCATAATTACTTTGCTCTGAGATATAAACCTGCTGTTTGATAGATGCTCCTTTAAGGCAGTACCAGATATTCTAATCAAACTTGAGACGTGATATAAACTATTGCTGGGTAATTAATTGAGTTTGAATTTAATTTACGGTTTTGACTTCCCAGAATCATGAAAACAAGATAATTGAGATTAATCTGATTGCAGCTCATGATGTGTTGCGCTCATTTGGTCATGTGTGATAAATGGAGCGCACCCTTCCACCAAACAGCCTTCGCTTTAATTTAAGTGAGGAGCAGAGGGAGCTGTGACACATAGTTTGGACCCTGTGGCCACTACTTTTAAGTGCTTCAATCAAAATAATAGTGATTTTGCCACAATCGAGTAGTCCTAATATAAACTTAGACCAATAAGACATTTTCTGATTAGAAACTATTATTTTATTATGACTTTATTTTAGATGCCTTCACACCATTTATCCAACACAAGTATTATTTAGTAAAAGAAGAAAGCAGACCCAGTTGTTCATTTGTTTTCATGTTTCAGGCTAATATTAACCTTGATGATGAGAGCGAGATCAATCGGACTAAACTGCTACTGAATGCCGCTGAAGATTATGACATGGGGGAGGAGGAGGATGAAGACGATGAGGAGGAGGAAGACGATGAGGATGATATAGAAGATGACAATGAGCTTGTGCCTGAGGAGGATGAAGATGATGATTACTGAGAGTCTCAGTGTTACCGGGGCTAAAATATTTGCACCTCTAAATAAGAATCCCATGTAAACAGATGTCTGTTTATTTAACAACTTGTTTTGTACTTTCACTTAGGAAGTTTAATTTATTTGGACCGAGTGAGTAACAGTTGCAGTGTATGATGTGTGGTGCTAGCGGTATCCTTTTTTTTTTTTTTTTGCCTGGTTTAAGACATGTGGTCAGGATTTCAATTTATGTTACAACTTGTATCAAATTAAGTGAGAAATGTCTCACCAAAATGCCGTAACACAGTGTTATTAGGTGCTTATAGCTAACTAGACATGTTGTGCATTTTGAGGGTTAGCATTTAGATGTATGGCTGGGCCATATGTGAAGATATGTGTGAAGATATGTGTGAGTTGTGTAAGAAATACAAATCGTAAGCACAAAATAAAATGTTTTGCATAAGGTTCAACTGTCTGATTCTTACATGTATACTTCCAGTTTCACCCCCACTTGCTTCCCAACATAAACTATTGTTTCTCATGTGTTCTTGGATGTTTTTAAGGTTTCCTTCTTAGATATTGAGTTAAGGTAACACATATTTAAAATTGTCCCAACCTGACCCAGGCAAATATGTAATGCAGTGCAAACACTTTCCACCAACAAACCATTCAGCATTTTCTAAACAGATAAAACAATACAGTGAGCTTCACAATAAGGCCAGCTTTCACGCTGACAGCAGGGACAGCTCTGGAGGAGGGTGGTGCTACAGGGATTGTACAATAGTGAGCGCCCCAATAGATAGATACAGCTTTCTACACGGTCTGCTGTTCCAGGAGAGCTGCCATTCACCCGGGGAATAGGGCTTAGCACACACACCTGCTGCAAATGAATGCTCCATAAGTTAAAAAGGTAAGTAAGAGTCTTTTTACAGTTATTTACCGTTTTAAATGAAAGGGGTATTGAACTTGTGAATTTAATGCTGGTTACGAACGCTGCACAGTTTATAATTCGTTAGAAGAGAATGGCTAAAAAGAGAGAACGGCAACAACAATTTAAACACGGTTGGGATTGTAAAGCACAATCATTTATTTTTAAGAACAATTTAAAGTCATATGAGCTGTTACCACATACATGATATGAAACTCACACAACAAAGTGTTATCTTTGCAATTTTTCCTTATATAAAACGTCCAAATGGAGCACACAGGTTGCAGGAAAGTGAAGAGACTGTGCTAAAATGTATTGCGAGTCTTTACAACTCCAGATTTCCCCCCTGAGAATATTTTAATTAAATTGAGTCCTTAAACTGTTAGGGTAACAAATATCTCATGTTGGGGTTAATGAAAAGGTCAATTTTATTACATTTATGGGATGTCAGGTTGCTCTATTGTCATGTAATTGTGCCTGGTAAATGTATCATCCTCTCTGACATTAACTTTGCTTACATAGGTGAAACCAGGGTTTGTATGGGATCTGTCTGCCTCAGCAAGATAAGCACACACACCATTGAGTTTGAAAAGAGGGAATTTGGCTCTGCAATAGGGATGTGGGACCCCCCGTGGCCAATGGCAGTGGAGACATGTTCAGACTGCTCTAGTGACCGTTTATTGTTTTCATGCTATTTTTCTTTCTGCAACTTATTTAGTCAATTAAAAATGAAAGCGGTGTAAGTGTGTTGGGTATTTCATTTAAGTGTGACTAGAGGTGCTGAAGGTTCTCTACCTGTGTGCAGACATCAGTGAGAGACTGGAGCAGAACCGGACAGTGACTGTGCTGCAGGCTCAGGAGTACCATGCTGCCCCGCTGTGCACTTAGTGTGTGTCATGTGCTTATGTTGGTGCTGTGTCTGTCTTCGGCTGAGGACTTCGACTGGACAAAGAACGACCACGGCTCCTTCTATTATGGCACTTTTCCAGCTGGTAAACCCAACTTTGGGCGTTTCTTCTGCATATATGAATTGTTGATATTCTTTCTCCCATCTAAGACTATGTTAACACTGCAAGCCATAATGCACAAATCTGATTTTTCTGTTTGGCTGTTCACATTGCTTTTTAAATGTGGTTTGTATCAGACTCCTGTGGGAATCCACGTATAAAAGTGGCCAAAATCTTGTTTGAACATATCAGATTAAATAGGACTTGTGCTGTTCACACTGTCATTACAAATAAATCAGATTTGACCATGATATGTACAATCTATGGATCTCATTCACATAGCAGCAAAAATAATCATATTCAGGTCACTTTTGACTGCAGTGTGAACTCAGTACAAGAGGCCGAATGGTTGATGACAATGTTGTTTTAATCAGGATTTTCGTGGGGTGCCGGCAGTTCAGCCTATCAAACAGAAGGAGCCTGGGACAAAGATGGAAAAGGACTGAGCATCTGGGACGTGTTCAGTCATAAGAAAGGCAAAATCCAACAAAATGACACTGGGGATTCATCCTGTGAGGGCTACCACAAAGTCAGGGTGGGTGATTGGTGTGAAGTTTCTGAGACATAGAAAGAGAAAAAATGCAAAACCAAAGTCTACATCTTTCATTTCATTGTGTGGGTGTTGTTCAGGATGATGTTTCTTTGATGAAGGAGCTGAAGCTCAACCACTATCGCTTCTCCATATCCTGGCCAAGACTCATCCCCACTGGCATCAAGTGTGAGTAACTGCTTGTCATACAAGCCTTTTCTTTTGATATTTGCTGCAGCTGATAACTCATGTATACTTTGATATTATTTGCAGCTGACCATATAAATGAAAAGGGAATACAGTACTATGATGAACTTATCGACCAACTGCTGGAGAACAAGATCACTCCCATTGTCACTCTGTATCATTGGGATCTTCCACAGGTTGACATCTAAACATGCGTATTATCCCTAGCTTTGCACTCCATTTCTATTCTTCTTCACTGAGTTACCTCACTTTTTGGTTTTTTTCTAGGTTCTTCAAGAGAAGCATGGTGGATGGCAGAATATAAGCATGGTTAATCATTTTAATGAATTTGCCAACCTTTGCTTTGAAAGATTTGGCAGTAGAATCAAATACTGGATCACTTTCAACAACCCATGGGTAGGTCTGCTTTTAAAGATACTAAACAGATTTAATCATACAGCTGGTATGAACATATATCAACTTGTCATTACAATCAACATGATAACACCATAACTTGCTCTTTGCTCCAGTCCATAGCTGTTGAAGGCTATGAGACAGGGGAGCATGCTCCTGGACTGAGGTTAAAAGGAACAGGGGCGTATAAAGCTGCCCATCACATAATCAAGGTAGGGAAATGAATTTACATTCAGTGATCGGACACTTGGCGATTTATGCTCCACTTTGACTTTAAATATGAGTCATATTCAAAACATCATTTTTCACAGGCACATGCTAGAGTTTGGCACACTTACGATACCCAATGGAGGGCAAACAAAAAGGTAAACAAGGTCAAATACTTGGAGTAGCAAAAATAATTAATTCAATATTTACCTCTTAACAGTGCTGTCTGTCTTTGTGATGAGCGCTTCTGTTTACTTTGGTAGGTCTGGTTGGGATCTCTCTGTCTGGAGACTGGGGAGAGCCGGTGGATCTCAGCAACCAGAAAGACATAGAAGCAGCTGAGAGATATGTTCAGTTCTACCTAGGCTGGTTTGCGACACCTATATTTCATGGAGACTACCCTCAGGTGATGAAAGACTTCATTGGTAAGTGAGACTGCAAACAGTAAGTTTGAGGTTATACGGGTCGACGAGGTTTGAACTACTCTGATTGTAACTGTATTTGCAGGAAGGAAAAGTGTCCAACAGGGCCTTGGCACATCTCGCCTGCCAACATTTTCACCCCAAGAAAAGAGCTACATCAAAGGCACCTGCGACTTCCTCGGGATCGGTCATTTCACCACCCGCTACATCACCCAAAAGAACAACCCGTCAGGTCGCAGCAGCAGCAGCTACTTCACGGACCGCGACCTGGCTGAGCTGGTTGACCCACGGTGGCCTGACCCGGGGTCTGAGTGGCTCTACTCTGTGCCATGGGGTTTCAGACGTCTACTCAATTTTGTCAAGGTACCTTATAGTGTAAATATGGTCTTAGCATACTGCAACCCTTTTTTTTTTTAAACCTCTTAATACACGTTTTTATTGTTCCCCATCTAGACTCAGTATGGAAACCCGATGGTTTATGTGACCGAGAATGGAGTCTCTGAGAAGATGCAGTGCACTGAGTTGTGTGATGACTGGAGGATACAGTACTTTAAGGACTACATCAATGAGATGCTGAAAGGTGAATTAACTCACACAGGTTAACGCAGCTTGTTTGGCAATGAGGGGAAATTTGATGCAAGCCTTTTCTGGTCCTTGTGTTGTCACTCAGCTATTAAGGATGGAGTCAATGTGAAGGGCTACACCGCGTGGTCCCTGCTGGACAAGTTTGAGTGGGATGAAGGCTACTCTGAGAGGTTTGGCCTGTACTACGTGGACTTCAGGAACAAAAACAAGCCTCGTTATCCAAAAGCTTCTGTCCAGTTTTACAAACGTGTCATCAGCTCCAATGGCTTTCCCAACCAAAGAGAGGTAAGACACACAATACGGTGACTTACAAGCTCTGATACAAATACTTTCCAGACAGACTTTTTCAAACATCCTTCTAGAATTAAATATTTGAATTTGAATAAACCAGAAGAATTGTGTGAATAAATCCAGTACATATCCAGTCATGATATGTAATTGCATTGTAAACCCACACAGGTTGAGAACTGGAGGAGGAAGGCTATTGAGACCTGTTCTTCCAGCAACCAGCTCCTCGCTGCAGGTCAGTTTGTCTTCAACATACCTGGCCATATTTATCTGCCATCAGAGGTTTATAACTAGCTGGGGTAAACAAATAAAGATTATGACCTAAAAAAATTATAATTTGACTTGAATATGTGTTGCTTTACTTCAAGCACCCCAGAAAACCAATGACAAAATCAGTAGTTGAATAAGAAGGATGGAAAACTTAATGAACAAATTCTCTAACAGAGAGATATCTTCTTTGTTTGCCCCTCCAGCTAGAAGAAAATCCCAGGAACATGCAGAAATGGCAAAGGTTTGGCCAGTGCATGATGAAGTTTAGAACTTGAGGGTATATGTCTGTCTTTAATGCCAAATTTCTGTTTCTGCTGCTTTTCAAATTAGCTTCTTTTATTTGAATGAGACTAACAAAAACAAGCTTCTGCACTTCAACACCAAGACCAGCCTTTGAAATAAGCTTGAACTCTTTGTGCAGTGTGCAACTAATTTCTTTCTTTCTAAAGTTTTACTTGTGTGCCCGCTTTGCAACTTAGACGAGCCCTTCTTGTTCTACAACAGCTTCAGCATGAACTAATTTCGCATGAAGCTCATCTGTGCCCATGGGGTATTGCAAAAAGCAGGATTTTACATTTTCCCAAATAGCACAACTGCCATTCAGGAAGGACATTCATGTGACCAGACACACCTGACAACTTCCTGTGATTGTCCAAAGCCACATCTGTCAATCATCCATGAAGCTTTTTGAAAGTTAAAAACATTCTGGATGATACAATTGTCAGGTTACTTGACCACAGTGCAAATTCTGCTTTCTGAACTATTCCCCATTCGCTGCGTGCAGTTCTCAAAGGGTTAAAATGCTGTTAATCAACTCTGAGTACTTTCTTTTTTTGTTGCTTTTTTTTTTGTTAGAGGAACAGCGGAGTACTGCTGCCAATATTCTAAGACTTATACATGGTAAGGAATCCCTCATGCTCACTTTAAATACGATAAAGGATGATTTGATCTAGGGAGAGAATATTAACCCTTTGAGTGCTGTGCTTAAGCATCATAACTCGCTTCACAACTAGTGTCTATAGACTGCATAGTAATGGTGAGTGGTTAACGTGTGTGTATGTGTGTGTGCTTTACAGACCCTCTGACCAGCCACATGGAGATGGTTACTGAGATTGTTGTTCCCACTGTGTGCACACTCTCCATTCTGCTAAGCGCCATCTTCCTCATGTTCCTGCTGCGAAGGCGGAACTAAAAAGGAGCTCTCACAGTGTGCATGTTTACAAACACAAACATTACCACACTCATAATGTAAATACATTATTACTTTAATTGAGCAGGTGTGACTATAAGTACATTATTTGAACTGAATTACAAGAGAATCTGTGACTTTCTCATTTTGGTGTGCATACAATTTGTGCTGTAACACATTAAAAAGACCTACTGTATGATAATGAATTTAATAAGAGACAGTAAAACTGTGTGGGCAGCCCCGCAACATTCTGGATTTTCTTATTGAATTATTGCTGAAGTTCTGTAACTATGACAACAAAGATTAGATTGAGAGTGCCAAAGACGATACAGTACATAAATAAAACAAGTTGGTCACTTTAAATATTTGACAAAACTACAGAGCATGAACAAGAAACCACTTAGTGTACACTACCTTGTACACTTTCTGATGCAGAATAAGACTATATAGCTTCTTCTTGTGGCATTGATACAATTTGGAATACTAGTGAGAATATCTAAAAATGCCAAATAAACACCTCCTTTGTTGTTAACTGTTCTCTGTGTAAACTCATGCAAAGTTGACGAGGCTACAGCACACCATGGTGGAGAAGAAGGCAGGGTCCTCACTGTCCCCATTCACTGTTTCATTTGGGTAATCTAAAGACAAAACAGCCAAACAAGACAACTGTTAGCTGCCTTTTAGAGACATTCTTAACTCCCTTGTGTCAGCAACATGAAATACTGCATATGATGTTTTGCATTTTTTTTTTTTAAATCACCTGTGTCAAAGATGACATGATCAACAGTGGTCTGTCACTGAGCTGCAAGGACGTCCTGACCTCACGCAGACCGTGGCCACTGGACACCTCAACACCCCACACTACTGGGTGCTCTCTGTTAAATACACAAACATGAAGGATGAGATATTAGCTCCAGTTAAATCTTTGCTGTCGATCATATGGGAAAACTCTTAATACTGTTGTAAATGCTTAAAAAAAGCAGGATCGATTGGTTTGAATAACTGAAGTAGCAATTGAAGACAGGCAGGGAATTCATGTGACCGCATAAAAAAAGTGAAAGAATAGTGAAAGACTAAAAGTGTTTCTCTTACTGCAGAGAACAACCTGCCTCATGAACACATATGAATACTGAGGGTTTTCTTCTGTCACATTAAGGTTTTTTTTTATTTCATACATGATGCAATGTAAAGGATTGAAAAACAGTTCTTCAAAAGGGAACAAAAAATTAGGTCTGAGTTTAAACATTAAGAAAAAGACAAATATCTTAACCTCTTCCATTATTTTCTTTGAAAAGTAAAGAGACAGTGTGTAAAGGATTGCTTTTCTTACTTCTGGTAGAAATGACCTATCAGTGCCGGTTTGATTTGCAGTTTGAATTCATGCTCTTCATCATACGGGTGTGCTTTGTAGTGCTGCAAACATGATCTAAAAGAAAAGGAGATTGTCTCATTTAGGGTCAACATCCAGAAAGTTCATTTTTGAACGCTAACATATCCCTGAAAAATAGCGAAATGGATCTACTAACTGTGTCAGCAGGAAGAGTCGATCATAGGGCAAACCCAGGAAGGCACTGCAGGTCAGTATTATTTCCAGCAGATGGTGCAATTTCCTGAGTCGGATCACTTGCTCCTGCAGATCGACTTCTGTGCTCAGGTAATAACACTACGGAGGCAAATATTCAGACTAAGGATGTTTTTTTAACTGCCCTTTTAAAAAAGGATGTGAGTAAAATAGTTTTATGCTTACCAAATGGTTTAGAGTTGTCAATTCTTCACCTAACAAAAAAAAATAGTTCAATATTTAGGCAAAGTCTGTGCTCAGTGATTCATGTACAATGAGGTTAAATGTAACAAAAAGAAATGTAATCAAATGTACTAAAAATAGAGTTATAATGACATTAAAAGGGGTAATATGTTTGAGGTTACCAATGAGGTAGTTGATGTAATCCTTTCTCATCTTGTCCAGACCCATCTCCAGCAGCATGTGGACCGGGGTGACCCCTGTGAGAGACACATGATCGATCTGTTGGTGGTAGGACTGTAGGATGAGTTTGCTGAGGGAGCTGCTGCTGTCTCTGTGAATCTGGACAAAGTGAAGAAAAATCAAATTAATCTATCACACCACCACATATCCTTAAAGAGCATACTTTTTTTGTGGAGCGGGCATTTTGTCTTACCCAGGGTTTGATGTCATGGTATTTGAGAGCTTCAATGACCAGCTTCAGGCAGTCACCGATGTCTTGATATGAAGTCACACCTGTAATTCACATAAAAATGAGTAGAGGGGAAGTGGTTGTAAATGGTAAATGGTAAATGGACTTGAGCTTGGATAGTGCTTTTCTAGTCTTTGGACTACTCAAAGCGCTTTTACACCACAGGTCACACCAACCCATACTCACACTGATGGCAGAGACGGCTACATAAAGTGACCATCAGAAGTAACTAATCCCATTCATACACATGCACATGCAGCTGACGAAGCTGGACAGCGATGTGGCTGCAGGAGCTAGGGATCTAACCGCCGACCTTCTGGTTAAGAGACAACCGACTCTACCAACTAAGCCACAGGTTGTCAAGGCCTGTTTGTAATGCTTAATGAAATAGTTAGTTGTCTTCTTTATAGAGGAGCTGACTCACTCTTTCTCATTAGTGCCCAAAGCTGCTCCACAAAATCCAAATCCCCTCGTTCCAAGAGGGAGTTGTAGATGGGAGTGTCTGTCTCAGTCTTCACCTTTGTGGTACAAAAAAACAAAACAATAAAAGAGCATGAAAGCTAAGATGTTTGTTCTAAAATGAATTATTTTGTGAAAAATCCTTTTGTTTTTAATGGTATCATACCTCGGCTGGTTTTTCAGCCTTCTCTTGCAGTGTCTTGGCAGTGCCCTGAAGCTCTGAATAGACGGTAAACAAAGAAATCAATTATCTATGGTTATCTATGGTTTTTCTTAAATCACAGTCAAGACGCATTGTCTTAACAAAGCAGATACCTTCTAGGAAAGCCTTGGTTAGATTTACAGCTGATACGCTTTCCAAAGGTTCCATCCATTCGGTCTCACCATTTCTCAAACCATCAGCAAGTGTCTGAAATGACAGTATACTAATAAAGAACTAAATGTAACAGATGCCTGACATCTCATAGTCATTCTTCTCAAATTACTGCAGAATGCCAACCTGAAGAAACCCTAGCTCCTTGTACATCTCGTACATCGGGCTCCTCATGTCACCACTGGCAACTTTGATGTTCTGCACGTGAGCAAAGGTAGACACGTCAAAACACTAAGTATGCTGATTTATTATAGATTTTAAACTGTATTATAACGTTCCAATTATACTTCAAACATACAAAAATTGAGCATTCATGAAAAAGAGAGATCATGTTTTGAGTGTGGATAAATGCTGCTTACCAGGTTTGCTGTGGATGACAAGGGCGGGGTCTCAAGGATACTCTCCACATGGCTCCATTTGAAATCCACTGTCACAGTGCTCTGCGACTCAATTGTGGTGTTTTCAACAACAGTGGAGCCAAACAAGCTGAACCTGGCACTGCCTTTAACTGTCATCTGGAAGCATGGACAGATATAAAAAGGGATGATATTTACACTGACTTGTAGAGTATGCACAATCACTTACCGAGGAGGGGTGATGCCTTTCCTTGTGGTCCCGTTTAAGCTCTTCCAAGGTTATGAGGGAGCCTTTGTCCACAGTTGAGCCTAACAAAATTGGAATGCAAGAAGCGTTAAAATCACAGGATTTGATTAGAAACAAATATACACTGTACTGATCATTTGTCAAGGGTGGTTTTTTTTTCAAAACAATTTAAATCTTTTGACCTCTACCTTTGCAGGTTACAGAGTATAGTTTGACACCAGACACTTTATTGCCCGTGCACACAGTTTCAGCTCCAAACCACGTTGTTCCAGCTGGATCAGACATGTCACATCGCACCCACAGAGGCAGTAAGGCAGGGTTGTCGTCCAGAGCTGACACATTAGCATTTTGAGATAATGTATACCAAGACAGCAACTGCCTGTAAAACAAAAAAATGGAAGAACTACATTGAATTTCCATCCAGTCTATAAGGTGTTTAGCTAATAGAACACTATAAGCATTAGCTTTATTTGGATAAAGTATTCTGAAACCTCTTGTGACTAGTCACCTCGCTTTCATGATTGTGAGTGGCTGCGGTCCCAATTCTGTCTGGAGTGCATCAGCGTCGTCCACATCGGCATCTTCATCAGAGCTGTTTGATGTTACGTTCATTTGCTGATTATCACATTCAGTTACTTTCGGAACCTTGTGAAATAAAGAAATAAAAATATGTTCCAATGATTGCTGTTAGTGAGAGATTTAGGAAGAAAAATGTGATGCACAATAGCAAGTAAACTTAAATTCAAGGCTGGAGGAATATTTAAAATCCTATCAAATTCTAAGCAATAAAAAGCAATGTGCCCCATTGAAAACCAAAAGAAGCAGATCAAAAAATATTGTGTGATTTCTGAAAAGAAACAATAGACTTCCAAAACAAAAGAAAGAGAGGATGAACGGAAAACCAGGAGGCCCCCAATGTACCGATAACTGTAGACATGTATGCATGTATGAAACAGTCTGGAGTGGCATGTGTACATGTGCACAGTGTGCATGTGCATGCGCCTGTGACTGTAGGAGTGTGTGTGTGTGTGTGTGTGTGTGTGTATGTGTGTGTATGGATACATAAGCAGACGCTTGGGTGAACTGTAGCACGGATAAGCTAATTTGTAATTACTGTTTTTATATTGTTTTCGATGTATTGTCCATGCAGCAATTTCCCAGCATCCTAGACAAATGTCTCTCTAGGGAGACGAATAAAGAAACCTTGACCTTAAACTTGTCTCAGGAAACCAGAATGAATGAAAATTAGTAACATTATTATTTTTTTTTTTTCTCACAGCTTTTTCACAGATGAAGACTGGATGGTTTCCACAGAACATATTCAGGACAGGGACACTGTCTCCATTCATCTTTAAGACTTGGATGTCCTCCTGAAACACAATCGATACATTTTCACCATCAATACTAAAAAAAATAAAAACAAATAGATAGACACAAATAGGTGCAAACGATTTATCTATAGATGAAATTACCTCATATAAACGAGGATCATTTCTTTCCGCATCCAGAAAAGACCTGTACCAAAAGGGTTAAACACAACACTCTCATGAGAAATATGCAAGGTAAACATTGAAGTAATTTCATGAAGTAATCAGATAGCCTCGTTTACATCATAGTAAAAGCTAAATAGTTAATAAATAGTAACTTTAGGCATTCAAATGTAAACTCACCGAAGAGCACCGTGAAACTCCTTCGCACTAGATATCGCCTTTGAGCACATTTCTAAAAGAGTTTCACTGTTAAAGAGCAAACAGCGTTGAAAGACAGTCGAAGTTAATACACCAGAAGTTAGACTGCTGTAAAGTTTGTGCTGCTGCCACTGTTGATATTTTGACGGTGGCGCGCTCACTCAGGCGGTGACGTCAAGAGGTCAGAGGTAAATCACTTTTTATCGTTATAGTGTACTGTGTTTTAAAAATTAAAAAAACGTAAAAAAAAATAGCAGGGTGTTTCAGATTATATGTTTTTTTAAATACAGTTTAAAGTAAAAAAAAAAAAAAAATCAATTCAATCCTAAATAATTGCAAAGAAAGTAGTCCGGACTTTACGTTTTGTTCTAGACATCACGGCGAAAAAAAAAAATAGTTCCTGTAGTAGAAACAATTTTGAAGGCTGGTTTGTTAATTCGTGACGATTTGATTCAAAATTCTAACTCAAATTTAAGCTTAATTCATATATATATATAATCTGTTATTATTTGTGTTCAGCAAAACACTGGAGAAAAAAAAATGTCTAGTCAACGGAAGTGATAGTGTTCGGGGCGGAGGCATAAAACATTTGGGGTGAATTACCGACTTCCTTTTTACTGTGGCCGCCATAGCGAGTGGAGCGTGGTTCCCGGCGAGCCGAAAAGAAATAACCGAAAATGGTGAGAAAATACGGATTTATATTTATACCAACGCGCTATAATATACATAAGACTTATCTCATTGTTTGTAAATGGCAAACTAGTCTTTATGTGTCTTCTTTGAGGCTAAAGAGACCTAATAGAGCAGTGAGTAGAAATGCTCCCGGCTAGCGACGCTAACACGAGGTGCCATTTTGGGCGATCAGTGTTCGTAGTTTCACCCAGTGACACGTGTGATTGTCTTTCTCATGGCATACTGTTAAAAAGCTGTTCCCAGATCTTCCTTGAGATGTCATCAATCCTCTGGGACCTTGTCGTAGCGTAACCATTGTTACATTGCCCAAACATGTGAACGCCGAACATTATGTTGGGACCTCTTAAGACTGACTTGCTAAGTCAAAGCTAACAAGCCTGCTAAGTCAGGGCCGCACATTTTTAAGATGAATTTGTTTGAATAGTGACTGTAAGTAGTCGATGTTTCAATTAAGTTAAGCGTAATGTGCATTTAATTAGCTGACTTGCGTGTTTAACCGGGGCGCAGACTGGCGATTTTGATTAGTTTTCACTGACTACACATGTTAAAAAAAAAATGTATATATATATATATTATTGTTAATTATTATTACGTGGCATGTCCTTATGGAACCATCTTTTGAGGAGAAAAATAATATTTTTTAACCTGCAAATCACCCCCCCCCCTTGTAAGCCTCTGCACCTTACATCGTGTACAGCTTTCTCACACTCTATATAAAATATCTTGCATAATCTTATTGTACATTTTTGCTTCCTAGGCGTGTGCCCGACCCCTGATCTCGGTTTATTCCGAGAAAGGAGAAACCGCAGGCAAGAATGTGGTCATGCCTGCTGTGTTCAAGGCTCCAATTCGTCCTGATGTTGTGAATTTTGTTCACACCAACATGCGCAAGAACAGCCGCCAGCCTTACGCAGTCAGTGAACTGGCAGGTGAGTAAAAGTCTCTGTTCAGCTGGCGTCACGGTTCAACATTGAGTTAGGCAATTAAGCCTTGGTGTTCAAAATTATTTTGTTGTTTGTTGTTGTACTTAAGATGTGTAATTACGTTTGATTTCAGGTCACCAGACCAGCGCAGAGTCCTGGGGTACAGGAAGAGCTGTGGCCCGTATCCCTCGTGTGAGAGGTGGTGGTACCCACCGCTCTGGCCAGGGTGCTTTTGGAAATGTATCCTTCTGATCTGAGTCAAGCTCCACTTTTTGTCTCCAAACATTGCTGCATTGGCCGTGGCAAATGAAAGCTAACACAAATACTTGCCATGATGGTGTAATTTGCGTCTGACTCTGTGAACAGTGACAGAATGCCTACTGTCATATGCTGTCACAGATGGCTGATGAACATTTGAGTCTGAGCAGGTATTCTATAATAACTGTGAAGTTGTTAGTTTGCTTCAGTTGTTGTTAAACCTCCTTGACTTGGGTCTAGATGTGTCGCGGCGGTCGTATGTTCGCCCCCACCAAAACCTGGCGCCGTTGGCACCGCAGAATTAACACAACCCAGAAGCGCTATGCCATCTGCTCTGCTGTGGCTGCCTCTGCCATTCCTGCACTTGTGATGGCCAAAGGTAAGCTTTGGGGAAAATAGTCCTTGTTGGTGAAAAAGAAATAAATGTATTTCTAGTATAGGTGAAATATAAGAACCAGTTAGTGGTTGACTTGCCATGATGGTGTAATTTGCGTCTGATCCTGTGAACAGTGACAGTTGCCTGCTGTCTCTTAGCTGTCACATGGTATTGATGTTTGTATAATTCTGAGCAAGATTAGAACCCCTCATCTCCCCCCCCAAATCAGAAGGTTGTTTTTGGTTGACTTAATGATATTGTTCGTTAGGTCATCGTATTGAGGAAATCCCTGAGGTCCCACTGGTGGTAGAAGACAAAGTTGAGGGCTACAAGAAGACCAAGGAGGCCGTCCTCCTGCTGAAGAAGCTGAAAGCCTGGAATGACATCAAGAAGGTAATCTACACAAGTTATAAAATGTTCTCTTGGCTTGACCCAGAACAGAAAAAAACATGACTGGGAAGTATGCTTAGTCGAATTCATATTAGATTTAAAGTCCAGAATTAAAACCCCAGGTGGTTCCAGATGCTTTTAGCTTTAATTGAACACTTTCTCTGCTGATGGTTAATGATTAGGTCTACTTAAATAATGAAGCAGAACTTAATGTTTCAGGGGCATTTCAGTTATATTTTTAACTTTCTGTTCTCAGGTCTATGCTTCTCAGCGTATGCGTGCTGGTAAGGGTAAGATGAGGAATCGCAGACGGATCCAACGCAGAGGGCCATGTATCATCTACAACCAAGATGCTGGTGTCACTAAAGCCTTTAGAAACATCCCAGGTGTGTTATTTACTCAAATGATGATTCATGTCATATACAGAGATGCAAACTTGAACTAAAGAGAAATTAGAGATACAGGCAGTTACATTGTAAAATGCTTGAATCTGTATTAGGGTGATGTATAACGGCTGCCTTGCATGTTATAGCTCGTGGTTGAGTTCTTGATTAAGTAACCTCAAAATAGCTTTTGGAAATGAGAAGTTTCAACCTAAAGTGATATTAATTCTCCTGCTCTGTTTATGAAGGCATCACTCTGCAGAACGTGAACAAACTGAACCTCCTGAGGCTCGCCCCTGGTGGTCATGTTGGCCGCTTCTGCATCTGGACAGAGAGCGCTTTCCGCAAGTTGGACGAGCTGTATGGCACCGGGCGCAAACCTTCTTCCCTTAAGGTTGGCTACAAGTGAGTAATTCAGGAGCAAGTGTGCTGCAACACATAATCTTTTTGCTATGATGAGCTTCCACTTCAGGTCCGTGTTTTTGAAACCCTGTGATAGTAACGAAGTACTGAGTTTGAACAAATAAAAGCCATGTTTGATTACTTTTTCGAAATATGAGAAATTAAAACATGAATTCCTTCATGTATTCCAGCCTGCCCATGCACAAGATGACCAACACAGACCTGAGCAGGATCCTGAAGAGTGAGGAGATCCAGAAAGCCCTTCGCACACCCAAGTAAGTGCAGCTCACTTTAAGTTCTTCAACTTGTATTATCTTGTCAACCATGATGATATTCCACTTCAGGTCCGTGTTTCTGAACCCTGATTATTTGGAAGTCCTGAGTCCCATGAAATCTGTTACAGACTTGTAGTGTGGAAGTTGTTCATCTTACTAAGACTTGGTATTTTTGTCATTACAGCAAGAAGATCAACCGCAGAGTGCTGAAGAAGAATCCTCTGAAGAACTTGAGGATAATGCTCAAACTGAACCCTTATGCTAAGACAGCAAGACGTCATGCCATCCTCAAGCATGACCCTGCGGTAAGAACCTTAACAATTCCTAGCTCCTTGCAGAACAATTACACTTAAAACCGTTGGTTGTGACTTTGGAACTTTGTTTCTGTAGATCAAGGCCAAGATGCTGAAACCCAAGAAGAAGCCTGGAAAGAAGGGAGCACCTGCTAAACCCAAGGCATAAATTGATACTTACAGACTGGAGTTCAGTGATTTAATAAATCAGTTCTTTCAAATACTTGAGTCAGGCCTATCATTCAAAATATCAACTAAAACCAATTTCAAACAGTTTTTGAGGGGGAAATGTGAGGAGCAATATAGAGCACATCAGTTCAGCAACATGTCATTAAAAAGTGGACATTTTAAATGTTTTATTTAGTTTGCACCCTATTTCAATTGGCAGTGAGGTTTGTACAGTAAATATGCAAATCTGAGTACTTGATCTAAAGATGCATTTAACCATAGTACAGTGACAGACCGTGTGGCTTTGAGATGTCCCACCTCTGCACAGATGAATGTCACGTGGTATTGTTAAACATGAAGGACAATAAAGGTAAGCATGACTGAACAAGCTGCTGGTAAGGTTAAAAATGAGCTGTGGTGACTGAAGTTGGAGGACCTTCAACAACAACAAAGAAATGCTGCTGTCTCAAAGGAATTCAGAAACATCCGAGGTTCGTTGACATGAAGTGATATTTTTCTGTTCTGCATTGTCTTGTTTCAATTCCCTGGAAAGTGTGGTTGATTAGTTGGGGCTATACATGTAAATGACATTAGAAATGCTGCTAACCTAAAGTCATTTACATTGCCTAAGGTGTATGTTTTGAATTCAGTGTATTTCTCAATCTTGTTGCATCATAGCCTTGAATAAGTAAATTTAACAAGCAAATAGAGGCACTTCTGCATGTTAACTGGTAAAACTTGTTTGTTTTTAAGGGTATCATTCTGCAGACTCTAAACACTGAGTCTGGTTAGGCTTGTCCCTGGGGTCCTCGAGTTGCACGACTGCTGGCAGAAGCCTGCTCAACTGGAAATTGCTTAAAGTGAGTATTTACTGTCAAGAGCAGCACAAATAAAATGTTAATCAGTGATGAGCTTCCACTTCAGGTCCGTGTTTTTGAAACTCTGTGATATTAACGAAGTTCTGAGTTTAACCATCCAAAGACTCGTCAGTTTATTCTTCAAAATTTAGAACATGAATTAAATCACGTTTTTTTTCTTTTTATTATTCCAGCCTGCCCATGCACAGGATGACCTGAGCAGGTTCCTGAGGAGTGAGGAGATCCAGAAAGTCCTTCACACCCCCTGAAGTAAGCATAGCTCACTCTTAAGTTCTTCATTTTCCCCTGAGATCAATAAAGTATCTAATTTGTTTAAGCCTTCCGACTATGATGATATTCCACTTCAGGTCCGTGTTTCTGAACCCTGATTATTTGGAAGTCCTGAGCCGCATGAAATCTATTATACACCTTCAGTGTATAAATGGTTCATCTTATTAAGACTTGTTAAATTTTGTCATTACAGCAAGGGGATCAACCGCAGAGTGCTGAAGAAGAGTCCTCTGAAGTGCTTGAGGATAACGCCAATGAGTTGCACTATGCCTTACTTTTTGGAGATCAGTAATAAATCACTTCTTTCAAATACATGACTCAGACTCGCTTTTCAACATTTCAATTCACAAGACAATTTATTTCACAAAAGCTAGCAAAGATCTGAATATGGCGCATCAAGGATACAAGGCAAAGAGGAATATCAAGCACACAGGTTTAGCAGCATTTATGATGAAATACTTCAGTCATTAGAAAACATGGCTTTTTAGACGGGCCTTCAATGTGGCCCAAAGAGTTGTTCAATAAAGTCTTAATTTTACTTGGCATTTAGGTTTTTAAACTATATTTATCTTTTGATTGCACAGATATTAAATACATATAGTGATTTAGTATAAATAGTTCACTCTGAATAGAAATACAAGGGAGCTTGGAATGTGGTTTTCTTCAGGGATAAGGCTCACATCGCTGTACCATGTGTGGGTGTCACGGGCTGATTGAGTCCAATGGTGCTGCACAACCAGCCAGCAAAGTCAACCTGCTCTGCCTCAGACTGTTTGATGAAAGCATGCACCTGAAGAAATGGAAAGTTTAGAATGCATAAGGAAGGGGGAAATGAATGCAACACTAATATTTGTAAATATAAACACTCACCATCAACTGTTTGAGGTCTGCTCTCTCTGCAGGATTCTTGATCAGGCTGAAATAAAGACACATGGCACCTTTAAAAATGTAGTGCATTTTATCACCACTAGGTGGCATATGGTCAAAGAGGAAGATACTGATATTTCTGTGTTTCTTGCCGGGAAATACTTCTCCTTACCATTTATTCACAAAGTCTTGAAATTCAGGGCTAAATAGTCCTGGTAGCTTCGGTGGAGGCTGAAAAATAAAAGTCCAGTTCAACATATATTAATTCATTATCTTCCTAAGGTACAACAGAAATCCCCAAAAGGTAAGATTTATATTGTTTAATATAAGCATGTTCCTTTTTGGGAACTTCAGGGGCTTTGTACCTTACTCTACACCAGTATACAACAATAGTGCATAAAGAGTTGTACAATATCACTGAATTTTTACTTCATCTATCACTCTGCCAAAGTATCCTGACAATCTTGGCTATTAAAGAAGGTCATTGTCTCAGTAGAATTAGTTGATACCCAAGCAACCCCCCACGGTTACTAGTTGTATGATAGATGGAAACAGATAAATGTAACTCTGAGGGAAAATGTAGACATGAAGACAAAGTAAACTAGAAAACAGAATTCTGTGTCTGTTTCTTTGCTTCAGTCTGGATCCAGTGAAAGTTTTAATTATCTGTTGCTGCATAATACTTTCTACTGCTTTATGTCTCTTATAAAACGTGTATAGACTAAATGTAAAATTTAAAGAAGTGGTACACAATATCAACGCAGGTCTCTTTGTCAAAATCACAACTGTGCTGATAGTGTGTACATCACTCTTTTGTGACATTGCTTTAGTATACAGACGTGTGTATATCAGCACAGGTGATCACACTCACCTCATTGACAATATAATCAAGCAGCTCGAATATTGCCATCGGTGGTCTGCTGTCAGGTCCGTATGCTAGGGGGATAAGAGTATTCATCTGTCATACTCGTAGTTCTCTTTGTTGTCAGTGTTAATTATCATTAAAGGTCACCAACATATGCCACGTAAATTACAATTCTGTTATTATTTGTGTTAAACCATTTTATTGTTATGAGATTATTTTGAGGTGCTGTCAGCCACTCCTTCCCATTACAAAATGTCACTGACTTACAGCTGCCTGGTCGCCCAGGGGGGCGGGGCTTCGGGGAGGACTCACTGGAGGCGGCCTCCCCTTCCATTGGGAAGCCAAATATTTGTTCCAGTTCGTGAGCATCAGGTGGTGGGATGGGGAAGCGTCCAATGGCCATTTCAACCAGGGACAGACCCATACTCCAGATGTCTGACTGAACAGAGTAATGTGTGCCTTGCAGACGCTCCGGCTGCAAAACACACATGTACTTACATCAATACTATGTCAAACACTTCATTCTATGATAGTACAATAAATACATGTAACACAGCTTAACAAATAAGGCTGAAGGAAATCTGGGTTTCATTACATGCACATTCAGAATCGGAATTCAATTCACTTACTAGGCTTTAGGCGGGTTTCTAAAAAATGTATTCTGCACTATATCAACGTTGCTACTCATGTATCGTATCATGTTACCCAGTGATTCCTAACCCTACCATGAATAATTGAAAGAGTAAAGTCTAGAACTGCTCTTTTTACAAAGTGTCTTGAGATAACATTTGTTATGAACTGGCGCTATTCAAATATAGATCGATTGATGATTGAATAGATTAAAATTAGAGATGTGCTGATTGAAAAAATCCGGGCTGATGCAGATACCGATGTTTGAAATAATAATTGAGCTGATTGCTGATTCTGATAGCGATGTTTGTTTCATGACTTCTTTTGGTGTGAAGACTCCCACAATGCCATCGTTTTCTCTCATGTTTGACAATGAAAAGACAGTCAAGAGCTTGGTGACTTCATCTGTCCAATAAAACAATTCTTCTCTGAATCAGTAGTAAGGTGTACTGGAGGCCAGCATTAGATTGATTTGGCACAACAAATAAACATCGGCTCCTGACATCAGTTCATTCCCGGTTATTTGTGGATGTGCCAATGTCTGTCAACAAACAAATATCGGATGATACCGATGTTGAACCATTGATGCACCCCTAATTGAAATTCCTTTTAATTCCAAGACTAAATTAAATTGCAGGCTAAAGCAACCTAATAAAGATCCACTACATTTGTCAAATCAATAACTATTGAGTCAATGCATACTACGGCAAATTGGGGATTTTCAAGCTTGCAGATGCTTTGTGAGTCATCTGATTTGGGATTTTGACCTGAACTGGAGACTCTAGCTGCCTTGCATGTCTAAATCTGAGACTTTATTGTAACAAGATTCCCAAAGGCTAATGTGTGAATGAGAGCAGCAGGGAAGGAGG